ATCAGGGGCTGGCCCCGTGGCCGAGTGGTTAAGTCCGCTGCAGGCGGCCCAGGGTTTCGTTGGTTCGAATCCTGGGTGTGGACATGGCACTGCTCATCAAACCACGCTGAGGCAGCGTCCCATATGCCACAACTAGAAGGACCCACAACGAAGAATATACAACTATGTACTGTGGGGCTTTGGGGAGAAAAAGGAAAAAATAAAATCTTTAAAAAAATACACAGATCAAAAGAAACTATTGTAAACAATTATACTCCAACAAATTGGACAGCATAGAAGAAATGGATAAAGTCCTAGAAATATATACCTACCAAGACAGAATCATAAAGAAACAGAAGATGTGAGCAGACTTATAACGACTAAGGAGGTAGAAGCTGTGATCAAACAGCCCAGCAAAGAAAAGGCCAAGATCAGATTGTGTCACTGGTGAATTCTACCTCACAAGTAAAGATGAATTAACATCAATCCCTCTAGAAACTTTCCAAAAATTTGTAAAAGAAAGAAAACTCTCGAATTTATTTTACTCAGCTAGCACTACTATGACACTAAAGCCAGATAAGTACACTAAAATGTAAGTTCAGGCCAATGACTTTGACAAAAATAGTTGCAAAAATTCTCAGCAAAATACTACCAAGCTGAACTCGGTAGCACACTTAAAGGATCACACATCACTACGAGGTGGCACTTGTCTCTGGGATACAAAAATGGCTCAACATACGCAAATCAATAAGTGTGATACACCGCATTTGTAAAATAAAGGGTAAAAATCTTATTCTTCTTTCAATGATGCAGAAAAATTACTTGAAAAAATTTAACCTTCTTTTATAATAAAAGCTCTCAACTAATTGTGTAAAGAAATAATGTACTTGAACATAATAAAGTTCATATATGTAAGGTCCGTGATTAACATCATCCCAATAATGAAAGTTTGAGAGCTTTTCATCTAAATCATGAACAAGTGAAAGATACACATCTTCATCACTCTAATTCAACACAGTATTGGAAGTCCTAGCCAGAGCAGTTCACTGAGAAAAAGAAATAAAGGCACCAAAATCAGAAAGTTAAAGTAAATTTTTTTTCTGTTTGGAGGTAACATAATTTTATGTATGAAAATCTTAAAGACTCAAACAAGAAATTCTTAGCATAAATTAATTCAGTAAAGCTGTTGGGTGCAAAATCAACAACTTAAATAAGTCAATTTTATTTCTTTGCACTAACACCAAAATATATGAAAAAGGTATTTAAAAAACCAATTTTATTTATAATACCATCAAGAAAATACTAGAATATAGTATACTAAATACTAAATTCAAGCAAAGTGGGGAGTCTATACACTATAAACTATAAGAAAAATTTGAAGACACAAACAAATGGAAACATATCCCATAATGATGGATCAGTGAGTCAATATTAAAATGTCAATACTTATCCAAAGCCATCTATATATTCAATGCAATCACTATGAAAATTCCAATAGCATTTTTCACAGAAATAGAAAAAATATCTCACAATTTGTATGGGGATCACAAAAGATGCTGAATATTCAAAGCAATCTTGAGAAAAAATAACATAGCTGGAAGCAACGGAAATCATTTTTTGATTTTACACAATCTTACAAATCCATGCTAATCAAAACTAGATGGTACTGATATAAAAATAAACATATACAACAATGGAACAGAATTGAGAGCCAAGATACAGACTCATGCATATATGGTCCAGTAATATTTGACAAAGGAGCCAAGAATGCTTGATGAGAAAAGGATTGTCTCTTCAAGAAACAGTATTTGAACTACTGGATATTCACACACAATTAAATAAAATTGGACACCTATCTTACACCACTCACAAAAATTAACTGGAAATGGATGAAATAATTTAATGGAACACCTGAAACCATAAAACTCTCAGACGACAAGGTCTTAGAAGACCTCAATGTAGGTTTTGACATTGATATTTTTGGACATGACACGAAAAGTACAAGCAAAAATAGCAAAAATCAACAAATAGGATGGCATTAAACTAAAAGCCTTCTTTACAATAAAATAATCAACAAAATGAAAAGGCAACATACTAAACATATAAAATATTTTCAAATATGTGATGAGAGGTTAATAGCCAAAATGCATACGGAACTCCTACAACTTAATAGCGAAAATACAAATAACCTGGTTGAAAAAATGGACAAAGGACCTGGATAGACATTATTCCAATAAAGACTTACAAATGACCAAAAAATACACGAGCAGATGCTTAATGTCACTAATCATCAGAGAAATGCATATCAAAACCACAATGGGGTCACCTCACATCAATCATGAAAAAGACCAGAGATAACAATGTTGCTGAGGGTGTGAATAAAAGGGAGTCTTGCGCACTGTTGTTGGTAATGTAAATTGGTACAGCTACTATGGAAAACTGTATGGAGATTCCTCAAATAATTAAAAATAGAACTAGCATGAGATCCAACAACCCAACTTATGGGTATATATCCAAATAAAATGAAATCAGAATCTCAAAGAGATATCTGTACATCCATGTTTATTGTAGCATTATTCACAATAGCAAACACCTGCAAACAACTTGTTTCATATGTATATATGTATTAAGTATATGTGTGTGTGTATACACACACACACACAATGGAATATTACTAAGCCACAATAAAGAAGGAAACCCAGGCATTTGTGACACACTGATTGACTTTGTAGGTACTATGCTAAATGGAAAATCAGAGTAAGAAAAATACCATATGATCTCGCTTACATGCGGAATCTCAAAAAGCAATATGGATGAATCTCCAAAATACAGTATTGAGTGCAAGAAGCATGGCGTAATTGATGATATGTTCAAATAATGATTAGCTTCTTGGAGTTTTTGATTAGGAAAAAGCAAAAGGAAGACTCCAAGAGTACTAGAAGTATGAAATATTCTAAATCTTGATCTTTGTTGTAGTTACATAAGCATATACATATGTAAAATTTGTAAGCTGTATGCTTGAGATTTGTATTAACTGCATTAACCAAAAACTGTATCAGCTGTAAGTGAATTATGCCTTGAAGATGGTATGTTCAAGGTAACTCCCCACTTCAGATTTTCTTACAGTTCCTGCTTTTGTACATGTGGCCTCCGCATGATGTTCCTCTGTTTTTAGACATCGATAAAAAACACATCAGTAGTGCCTTTTGAAAATTTTCTACAGAAACATTTATTTAAAAACTAAGGGTATAAACTCTGAAAAGCAATCAAAAAAATAAAGAGACAGACATAGAATTTCCAAAACTATTTTGAAATTTTCTTTTCAATTTTGATTTCATATTTAATTTCATTATGATCAGATAACAGGTCTATATTATTTCTCTGAATTGTATTGTTATTTTTACAGGCATCTGGTCAACTTTTATTAATGTCTGTGTTTGCTTGGAGATAATGCCATTCTGTTATTTTCTTTTGTTTGCTTGAGTCTCTTCCTATAGGTCAGGCTGAACAGTTGTCTTGTTGAAATATTTTATTCTTACCAAATTTTACGGGCTTATATGATTTTCAAATCCATATGTTTTAAAATCTATTTTTCTGATGGCAAATGAATCTGGCACAAATAATGACGTTTTCATGACTGCGTTTATTTGTGTCAATTTCGTTCATTGTAAGAAAACAAAAAATATTGATGGCATAATTGACAGAATATTAGCAATTATGTTCCTTTTTTTCATCCTAACACTGGGTGAGGAGAATGATAAACAAGGCAAGCAAACTCTTAGTCTTGAGCAGAGGGCTACTCTCTTCCGACATCTTCAATTCCTTCTCAAAGTGTAGAGTTTCCTGAATAATCTCTCTAGACATGGACCCAGGATCTACATGCATCTGTTAAGGTACCACCACAAATATGCACACGGTATTGGTACTTGCATCACAACACGAAGCTGGAAATTTCCTATGTCGCTCTAAAATTTTCATGTTGGAATTGAGGTGGACTTGAAATGCCATTTTAACTCTCAGAAACTCATATTGCAGATTTATTTTCCCTGGAAGTTCTTTCTGGATTCATTTTTCTATGTATGTTTAAAATTTCATTTATTTCTTAAATTTGTTACAAACATACAAAATTTAGCCTCCATAATAAAATTCTCTAAGCCAACTTATTATGCAGTTTCTGCTTGTAATTTGGCTCTGATGACCACATCTTTCTACCGTGTCTGTCTGTATCTTATCTGGCTTGCGTCTTCCTCCAACAGATAGAGAAATAGTCTTATTTATTCTCTTTTCAAAGCCCCCAACCCTGGAGGAGTGCCCATATTTTGCATGAGAAATAATTCTAGTTATCTGGACATTTGCAGATGTGAGGTGATCCATATAACTTATAAGAAACAGGCGGCTGACTTACTCAGGTTTGCTCACTCATTATCATCAAGTGTTCTATTAAGACTAAGCATGTTTATGTATGTGAATTCATATCCATGGACCCCATGTCCATCATAAATCAACATAACATTTAAGCATCATGGACAAAATTAATTCCAAGAAAGAATTTAGTCGTGGTGTACTTTAAAACAGATTGGCCACTGCAATTACAACTAGAGCCCGGGGAAAGATATACATTACTTAAACAAAAAGTTACATGAATTAAAATGGTTTGCCTTCAAGCTCCAGATAAAACAGATTGTGAAAGACTGCTTACGAAAACAGTGAAAATATAACATGCACAGAGCAAAAACATAGAACAGAGTGTTTAAAATAAATTCCTGGACAGAAATAAATATACCAGCTTAAAGGAGAAGCTTGGGAGTCACATTTTAACATTTATTTGCTGTGTGATATTGAGAACAATATTAGTTTCCCATGCCTCCATTTTCTCACTTAGAAGATGGGTGTCAAAGTACTTATATAGCTGTTAATAGGATGAAAAATAATGTATAAAAATTGCTTGGTGTGGAGCATAGCAAATAGTAAGTGCTCAAGAAATAGCCTCTCTTAGTACGGTAGTCTCACGTAATTCTTAACTACTTCCTATTATACTGATCAAAGAATTTAACTTTCTCTTCAAGCATTATTAAAGGAGAGAGAATTGCCATATGTTTAAATGTTAACAACTTCAGGAAATTAGACTCTTTGAATAATTTGAAGAATGAGACTAAGTTTGCTGTCATTTTAAATTTACACATTTCCCCAGCCACCTTTCTCAGGGCCCCCTTGACCTCGCTGTTCCTCAGATTGTAGATGAGGGGGTTCAGCACAGGGGTGAAGATAGTGTAGAATGCTGACACGACCTTATCAAGGTCAGCTGACCTGTAGGATTTGGGTCTCATGTAGGTGAAAATGGCAGCTCCATTAAAGAGTCCCACCACAGCCAAATGTGAGGAGCAGGTGACAAAAGCATTCTTGCAGGCTTCTCTAGAACGCATCTGGAGAACAGCTGCGATGATAAAACTGTAGGAGGTCAGGATGAGGGAAAAGGGGACCAGAAGCATTAACACACAGCAGATGTACATTACATTTTCGAAGACTGATATGTCAGCACGAGCCAAGCGCAGCAGCATGGGGGCCTCACAGAAGAAATGATTGATCTCACATAAGCCACAAAATGGGAAGCTCAGGGTAGCAGCAGCCTGCATGAGCCCATCAGCTGCCCCCAGGAACCAAGACCCCAAAGTCATTCTCAGGCATAATTGCTGGCTCATGAGGACAGGATATCTCAGTGGATGGCAAACAGCCATGTAGCGGTCATAGGACATGGCTCTAAAAGGAAACTCTCCCCACCACCCAGTGTGAGTGAAAAAAGATCCGCAGCCCACAACCAGCAGGGGAGATGGACTTCTTGCCAGTCAAGTAGTCAGCA